CATCATGCCGGCGTCGCTGTCGGCGATCCTGCAAAGTGCCTCCAGTGGGTTGGGGTCTTGCCCCGCCACCGCCAGCACATCTATCTCTCCCTCGACCTTTTCTTCATCAAACAACGTGTGAATCACGCTGCTGCGCAACACCTCATCAGAATCGTTCTCGGAATGGTCCATGCTGTTCCCCGCGATGCAGTGAAGCATTAATACGTAGATTATATAAGATAGATCAACTAAACTTGCATGGTGCGCGCTGTTACCCCACCGGTGGCCTGGGTGCCATGATCAGTTGTTGCAACAGCATCAATCGCCGTGCTCATGCGCGTCGTTTCCAATGTACCGCGTTTGAGGGCCGATCCTGTTTGTCTTAGCCACATCTCCGTAACTTAGCCTGGCCCTGCGTCATCAGAGCGTCTCGGGCACGATGTTGGTTCGCGCCTAGTCCTGGTCTGTCGCGGCTGTCTCTCCCAGTGGCGGAATCCACCCGCCCGACGCCGTAACATTTAAAAACAATGCGGTCTATAAAGGGAGGCTGGATTTTCCGCGGCCTGTGGGCTCGCGCGTGCATAGTTTTCCTGATCATCACGGTGTGCATGGTCCCCGGCGGTAGCAGACACACAGAGAACGTCGTAGAACGTGCTGTTGCGAAGAAGCGGCGCGTGAACGTCCCCGGCGAGAGCAACGGCGACGGCGGCGTCGGCGGCGAGCGCGGCGGACCGCCGCCGCGCGCAGCGCGCGCACCAGCACCACCACCGCCGCGCGCGACTGCGGCGGCCCCCGGGAACGACACCGGCCATGCAGGCGGCTCCGCACCCACGCACGACCAGGTGCTCGCTTCTGGTTTGCGCTGGGGAGGAGGGGTAGAGGGGCTGACGGTGCAGAGATCTGGCATGCCTGGCCTTCTCGGCATGGGGGCGTGAGCTGTGCGGGTGCAAGAGCGTCGGCTTTCCTCGGCCAACCCGCGTCCATTGCAAACCAAACTCCCGCGCAGGCCCCAAAATGTGATGAGATGACTTTTCCTGACACCGACTTGCTCTACATGATGTCAATAAGGCCGGATGCGCTCGAGTGCGCGCGCGACAAGGACGCCCTGAAAAGGTGAGGGCGGCGCAGCTTGACGGGCCCAGCGCGGACGCGTGAGGGCGGCGCAACGAAGGGCGGCGCGGTGGTCAGGCGTGCGTGGTCATCATGGCATTGGAAGCTCGCGCGCATCCATCCATGCAAATGCAGGGTTGTCATTAAGCACGCCGCCCTGTCACGACCCACGACCGCACCGCTCGCGTCCCTTCGCGCAGGGCAAACATGTCGACGGTCGTCGCGGCAGCGGGCTGCAAGATCACAGATCAGAATCGCGCCGCTGTTGAGAACGGAGACCGAGTAGAAGGGGTTGGGAACCTGCTCCACGCGGGGAAGTCCGGCAGGTGCGGGGCGCGGAGCCAGTCACACCCGACGTGCGCGCCACGCTAGACGCGCCCAGTCTGACGCGGCCGGCCACCAGCACACAGACGGGGGCGCAGCCACGCACTGGCGCCCTGCATGCATGCGGCACGCCTCAGCCAGGGCACCGCCTGTGCAGGTTGCGCGCGCGCACCTCTGGCAAGGTCTGGGCCGCCCGAACAGGCCCGTCGATTGGCAGCCAGAGAGGGTCACGGCTGATTTCTCGACTGTGCGGGTCGTCTGTACGCGTGCCAGGCTGACCGTGGTGCACGCCGTGGTGCACGCCGAGTACCTCAAGGCATCGGAGCGTGAAGCCTTTGTCGGCCTGAGCGAAGATCATGCTAAAATCAAGGCAAACGGCCGTGACATCACGTGAGTTGAGGGGACAGCTGGGGGAGGGGGGGCGTCGCATGGATCTCGCGGCGCCAGAAGACACCGCCGCTGCACCGCTTGGGCGCACTCGACTGCATGTCCTGCGCCTACTGGTGTGCTTAGTGTCTGGCCAGCCGGCGTCCACACTGCAGCGCTGGCATGGGCGCCGCGGGCGCGCGACGGATCTGTGCGCCCCAGACAGAGTATGCTGAGCTGCATCCCCTCGCCC